GGGAAAACAATGAGCCACAGAGCATGGAATGAATGTATAGGTACTGTATATTTCAATTTGGGCATAGATTATAACGGATAGGGAGATATTTCATTTTTTCTCAGACTTGCTTTTTATAAATTTTATAATTTTTTAATAAATGTTATAAATTTGTCAGCTTCTCTGATTCTTGGTTTTTGCGGATTTATCAAACTTGAAAGTTTTTTCCCAAGTTTCCATCAAAAACTGAGTGTAGTTTAGTATACATTTATCCGATTTTGGTTGCATTTGGTTGATAATTTTGCCTAATGTTACATAGCTTCTACAAAAAACTTTCTTAATAAGATAAATTTGCGTACATCATTTTCATGAATATATGCATAAATGAATATGTACAAACTTGTGGCACCACAACATTTTTAAAAAGTGCATTTTTAAAACAGTTCAGAAATGTACAAATTCAAATGATAATGAAATCTTGGTATATTGGTTCAAAACATAAAAAAACCACAAATTGTTAAATTTGTACTGTATGGAAACTCAACTAATCAGGGATTGAGGATGGAGATAATAGCAAAGGATGGGTAATTTAAGATAATCAATATTACACATGAGCCTGTGTGCAAACATACACAAACACATACACACAAACACATTTTGCTCTATTAAAACAAGTTTTTATAGATTTTTGGAGATCTACAAGACCTCGAAAAATCTACCAGCAGAAACAGTGGATTAAATGGTTACAATTTGAGCAATACTTGTTCTTTGTCACTTTAAACTCTCAATCATATCAATAAGTAATTTTGCTTATATTTTCCTTTCAAGATCACCTGCAATCAACGGGAACGTGATTGTTACTGGTAAAAAATGGAGTCGGTTGCTTGGGAGGGGTCTTCCCCCCATAAAGGGGGAACATCCAATGATCAGTCTCTGATGGAAAGCACCCAGAGGTCTTACCCCAGATTTGAACCCACAGGAGGAGTGAAAGCAAGAAGGCAAGTACAAACTCTAGCCAAAGGAAGAGAGAGTCAGACATCTGGTGCATAGCATCCCTTCACGTATACAGAAATGTAATAGCAGAGCTCCTTCTTGCCAAAGGTGGGCATTATGCCATTCCCCTTCTCATAAAGACAAATAGGCCTAGACCCCAGCCTAAGTGTAGGTATGGGTGGCATTTATGTACATCATCGTATATTGATGTCAATGCAGGCATCAGGAATACCTCACAGAGAGACTATGTCACATATCCACATCAACTGGAGCTCCTATATTAACAATTACACACACACATATACATACATACACAGGACAAACATGGTGATACTTCATGGCTACGACAAGCAGCATAAACATACATGGTTTCATAGTTTAAGATTGCAATAGGACTCCAATACTCTGGAGTCCTATTGAACTTAATGGGACTTACTTTAGAGCAAGCATGTCAAAAATCTGCTTACGCATGCATGCGCATACAGAGAGACCTATTGTTATCCCACTTTATTTAAATCATTTCTCATATAACTGCTAAAGGTATATCAACAGGAAGGTAACTCATAATTCCTTGTTACTCTACCCCTGGACATTTTTCCTTGCCTTTCCGAACACCCCTATATGATACCCGTCGTTTGTAACATCATCTTGTTTAGCAATCATTTGCAGCTACAATGTTGATTAGGACTAATTCTTGCATTTATGATCTTTGCAGGTCTGTAAAGCAAAGGAAAGCTGCAGTAAGATCATGAGCACATTTGCAGTTTCACTTAGCAATGGCTTCACTTAGTGACCCAATGCCGGCCCCAGTTGTGGTTGCTAAATGAGTTGTTTGCAGGAACTCACTCCTCTAGAAGACTACTGTAGAGTGGGTGGCGGGTTCTTTAAATTACCTCCTCCAGAACTTTGGACTGCACAGCCTGTGCCTGAGGAGGGAAGAGATTCCCACGCCTGCACCTCATTCTGATTCATAAAAACATCCTCCTCTCACCCTCTTATGGCATGTTCCTACACATCATGCTGGGTGAATCATGGTTCCATGCTAGAACCAGCCATGCAAGCAGGAAACACCCACTTCTGGCTTTCTCCTTAAAGGCATTGCCTCCTTTCCTGCTTTTCATCACTTCTCTTAGAGATGCCCCAACCTCAGAAATCCACTCCCTGCAAGCCCCCCAGCACTCCTTTGTTTCCACATTACAGCTTGTTGTTGTCATTGGGACAGAAGTTAGAAAGCCTCTGTTGCAGACTGGAATTTCAGGTTGGGACAAGGATACTTAAGACAGACTGCACTGGTGTACAAACCTAGTCTCTTCACACAAATGCATAGGGCTAGTGATTATTCCGATGCAAAATCTTCTCTCAGAATTAGTGTCCTGGGGCATGGGGGTGGGAACCAGGGTATGCCTAGAAGTTGCTGCCAAATGCAGCTCTAGAACAGTCTTCACATCACCATTTCTTCCAAAAGGGACCAACCGTGGGCTGGTCATACACTTTCAACATGAACTGTCAGCAAGTCCTGTTGCCACCATCAGATTACCTCTATTGCCAGTGGGCTGGAACTTGGGGACTTGATCCTGCTGACAGAGCCATATTTGTTTCTAAAGGTCCTAATTGCTGATTTTCAACTGCAGATCTACTGCATAATCTGAGAAGGGATGTCCAGAATGTTAAGCTGAGGCCTCTCTGAACTCCATGCACACTAGGAACTGACAAGGACTTTGGATAGATGTTCTCTTAAGCATGTAATGTCTCAGCAGTGATTTTGTTCCCTGAGGTACCATCCTAATACGAGCTTTGGTTTACTCAGTTCATTGAGACAGCCATATGCCAAACTGGGAGTATGTTAAACTAAACATAATGGGGCTTATTTTTGTGCAGGCATACATACAATTGCAAAGTTTAAGAAGCTTTGGGAGATTTTAGGAACCTTTGTCCTGTCAATGCCTCTTAACAATACAGGTAGTCCTCGACTTATGACCTCAATTCAGCCCAACATTTCTGTTTTTAAGTGAGGCATTTGTTAAGTGCGTTTTGCCCCATTTTATGATCTTTCTTGCCACAGTTGTTAAGCAAATCACTGCAGTTAAAGTTAGTAACACGGTTGTTAAGTGAATCTGGCTTCCCCATTGATTTTGTTAGTCAGAAGGCTGCAAAAAGTGATCACATGACCCTGGGACACTGCAATCGTCATAAAAACGAGTCAGTTGCCAGGTGTCTGAATTTTGATCACGTGACCATGAGGATGCTGCAATGGTTGTAAAGTGTGAAAAATGGTCATAAGTCACTTTTTTCAGTGCTGTTGTAACTTTGGTCACTAAACAAACTGTTGATAAGTCAAGGACTACCTGTATGTGGGCGCAAAGGTACTGATCCTGGAAAGGAAACAGATCCCCCTAGAGGAGATGGGAAACTTGCTTCAAGGAAGTTTTCCTCTAGTTCTATAGAGCTGCAAGACAAAGTCAAAGCCTATGAAAATGCTGGTCCCAAAGTTGCTGGTCTGATTTTTTTTTTTTTTTTTGGTATTTCATTTCGGTATAATATATTTAATGTTCCTGAATGGTAATGTATTATAGTTGGTCTTTCTCATATTTTTTTTTAAAAAAGGCTTAGAGTCAGTAAGTGCTCATATTTGAATGGTATAAATTCCATTCATTTCAATCATGCTTCTGCAGGCAAACTTCCTCTGGACTGCATCTTAATAAATTAACTAAGGTTGGCACTTGCTTATAGGATCTCAGGCCAAAGCTGCCTATCTGCAAAACGGATTAAAATTTGTCTGTTATTAAAACTTTTTTGTTTGACTCCCGAAGGAAGATCAAAAAGATTAATCACTAATAATGACATCCATGCTGAAAACATAAAATGACAGCAATCATACATTGATGGGTTTTTTTTCACCAAGAGTTCTAGCAAATGCCAGCCTCATTTCAGCAACCTCTAAGTGAAAGAATAAAATTAAAACAGAAACGTTCCCTCCCTCCATTTAAAACATCGTTTTTTTTTAAGTCCACCCTTTCTTAATATGCATTAAGTCTATTCATACAAGAGAGCAGTATGGGTGAACACAAGCCTGCAGATTCAGATTGCTTGTGCAGGTGATGTTTTCAGGAAAATATCCCCTTAATTGCTCGTATGATTATATCTCAGTGTAGCTTCAAAAAGACAAGCTAAGGAAGGAAATCGGAAACCTACTTCAGGATAGGAAGGGGAAGGGGTGGCTACTGAAAGGTGGAGAAATGCTTTGTTATTGCGTTTGAAAACATTTTGAGCCAGATGTAAATCCAGTCCTGGAGAACATAAATGCATTCTGTTCAGTGCAAAATATGAAAAACTGAAATAATAAATTTAGTAGGGATTATGATAGTTTTGCAATTATTTCTCTTCACTATCCACAAGAGCTTGTTATGCATTTTTGTGCATTTATTTCATCAATGTGTATAACCTTTAGCACTTTTTTTCAACTTTTTTTTTTTCTTTCAAAATTTATTTGGCTTCCAGGTTACAGTAGAGGAAGAAGACTTTTTAAAAAAGAGTGATAAAAGTATCTTGGCAAAGATGTAGAGAACATATAGATTGGCATCTGTGATGTTATAGACAACATTAGCAGATATGTACCCCAAAAATACTTACATACATCTTTGGAACCAGCCTTTGCATCCCCCTCAGAAATTAATTTCATATTTATTTCATATTTCCAGCAGCAGAAGTATAATCAAAATACCCTCCATGCTTTTAAAGATAGGATTGTCTTCAACTTCAGTCACTATAGGTAGTCCTTGACTTACGACCACAATTGAGCCCAAAATTTCTGTTGCTAAGCAAGACAGTTAAGTGAATTTAGCTCCATTTTATGATCTTTCTTGCCACAGTTGTTAAGTGAAGCACTATAGTTATTAAGTAAGAGGGTTGTTAAGTGAATCTGGCTTCTCCCACTGACTTTGCTTATCAGAATGTCACAAAAGTTGATCACATGATCCTAGTACATTGCAACTGTCATAAATATGAGTCAATCGCCAAGCATCCAAATTTTGATCATGTGACCCTGGGGATGCTACAACGGTCATATGAAAGATGGTTATAAGTCACTTTTTTATGCTGTTGTAACTTTGAAGAGTCACCAATTGAATGGCTGTAAGTCAATGACTACCTCTACACAGGAAACCTAGGGTTCAAGTGGCTGGGATTATGAGCCTTGTATAGTGGTGGGATTCAAATATGTGAACCACCAGTTCTCTGTATGGATGCCACTTCTGGAAGTCCATTCTGGGCCTGGGCAACAGAAAATTAGCTATCGGTTCTGCCGAAGTGGTGCAAACTGGCTGAATCCCACCACTGGTCTTGTAGTCTTGCGTGCCTCAAACTGAAGACTGGTTTAAATCAATGAAACTTGCAAAGGGCTTAACTGATCAGAGCAACCAATTGCTTTCCCAGGAAGTGTGGGTGAATGTTTTTTGCAAAGAGGAGAAAGAATGGCTCTGAGATGTAGGACCCAAAAAATAAAATAAATAAAAAATGTGGGTCCAAATACAGGCAAGGGCAACTTTTAGAAAAGAGGAAAATTGTACCAAATCAGAATCTTGGTAGCTCAGCAGCTACCCACCGTCCCCATTTCATGTCACTCAATCATTCAGCAGCCAATCACTCTGTCTCACACACACTCCTAACATAAAATCATAATACTGTGCAGGTCTAGTGAACAAATGGACACCTCCATGTAAGTCCAAGGCAGGTTGATTTGACCACCAGGACAATATATTCATCAGGTTTGTACCGCTTTCTTAGGTCCAATCCCGTTCCCCTCCCCATTCTTTGCCATTGCCTGGCTGTTCCATAGTTCCTTTCTTTGTGTCTTTTTCACACAAACGTGGAATGTTCCTTCATGAAAGATAAAGTGGGAAGATCCTGTTTCGGAGTGCACCGCTCCAAGGAACTGGAACTGCGGAGAGGGATCATGCAACGCTCTGCCGGCTTTCCATGTCCCATCATCCCCCAGCAACAAAGCACCCGTAGGAACTCCTTCCTCATGTCTTTGCTGCGAAGGGTATAAATGAGGGGGTTAATGGCTGAATTGAGGGTAGCAAAGGCAAAAAAATACTTTGACTGGTAAAGGATGGGACAAGACTTCCTGGCGCATGAAGCGTCTATCAGGAGGATGGTGAAGGCAGGCAGCCAGCAGATGATGAAGGCCCCCAGGACAAAAGTAACTGTCCTGAGCAAGGCCATGGTCTGGGAGCTGGCTTTCTCAGCATGGCTGGAGCGGACAATGCGGTAGATCCGAACATAGAGGACCACAATGGAGAAGAGGATGACAGTGAAAATGGTAACCACGAAGACGATGTAGCTTTTAGAGTAAAGGGGCAGAACAGTGGAGCATTTCTCAAGATCAGACATGCAGTTCCAGCCAAGGATGGGCAGCCCCCCAATGGTGGCTGAGATGACCCAGCAGGCCCCAATCAGCAGCAGCATCCGGCAGTTCTTGTCACTGCTGTAGACCTTCATCTTGGTGATAGCCACGTGTCGTTCAATTGCAATGGCTAACAAGCTGAAGACCGAAGCGGCCAGGGTGGTAAAGGCAGTGCCTTCTCGCACAAACCACTGTATTGGAGTGAGGCGAAAGGTGGCTGGGCCCGAGAGCACGATGTTGGCAATGAAAGCCGAGCCAGCCATCAGGTCCGAAAAGGCAAGGTTGCCAATGAAGATGAACATGGCGGAGTGGAATTTCTTGTTCCTCCAGACTGATATGAGCACCAGCAGGTTCTCCAGGATAATGAAGCAACAGAGCACAATGATGAGAATGGCCGTGGGAGTCAGTGGAGACTCCTCGTCTCTCTCCAGCTTATCCTTAGTGTAGTTGTAGTGCTGGAAGATTTTGTCCTTGTTGAAGTAGTACTTGTAGACATTTCCCATGGCTGGTTACCGAGGTGCCCCCCTGGGGAGGTCTCTCTCAGAGGACATTTGGATAAGACACCAGCAGAAATGAGTTCATTTGGAACAGAGGAACCAAGAACCAACTAGGTGAAATCTGAAGATGAAAAAAAGACATAACAAATTCAGTCAGGCTGTTGCTTAAAACAGCAGGTGAAAAACCAATGTAGAACAGGCGAGGGAATAGGTAGAGCCATCTGTTTTAAATATGTTCATCTCACTTCATCAACATGGCCATCATATGAAGAGGTCTCCCTGTAGAATAATCCAGCCCCCACCTCAATGCTCAGATTTCATCTTTTGTTTTTTAAAGCAATCTTTTGGATTAATGGAGATGTTTGAGGTAGTTGCTAGCCAGTTCATCAGTTGAAAAACCTGAGCCTTGCTTTCTACCAAATTAATGACGTTGGAGTATACATAATTAAGTACTTTGCTGATTGGTGTACATTTCTTCTTAGTAGATGCAGTTTTGTATGCCATAGTTTTGCACAGAACTAAACGGCAACATTTTGAAATTATGAATTGTTAGGGACAGCAGCGTTTTGTTTCATGCAATGTCTAAAAGGCTCAGGATGATGTATAAAGTTTTACAAAGCTTAGGTCTTAGCTACTACAAGGGCTATCTCCTTCCCCATAGATCACCCTCACGCTCATGAGAGTGCCTATTGCAGGTCCTAGCAGATATAGGTATTGATCAGCAGTTCATTCTGCTTTTTTCAGGAAGGGTGCATGATGTTGTTGAACTTGTTACTGGAGTTTTAGAGGGAGTCAGAAAATATTCACAGAGGCCTTTTAACAGATTAGTGTTTTAATGCCAAGATCATGGTATTTGTATGTTTCTTGTTTTATCAATTTTTACAAGAGCCTGGAGCTGTTTTTCAGGAATGGGTGGAGTTAATATATAAATAAATACATGTTGCTATCTTTGCATCAAAATGGGCACCCAGAGCCTACTCATTTTAATATAGGCTTCTGCATAGCCTATCTCAGGCCTGCACAAGAAAATCATTTTCTGTCTATAAGCCCAATTCTAATACTGCAGTTATTAATAACTGGAAGGCAAAACTCCTTGGTCTACCTTAAATTTCAGGGCAACTGGTATGTTCAGAATCTGACCATCAGTCTCCTCTTTAGTTGATGCCTTGCCATCTCTCAAAATGGCAAACTCTTAGCAATTCCAAGTCAAAGGCTGACAGGCAATTTTTGTTCCTAGGATTGAGAACCGATATATTTCCGGGGCCTCCGAAAGTGCACTGAATCCTACAAAAGACTTAAGGATGAAATGTGCACATATGATTAGGAGCTTTCCCACTCTAACAGCAAGCATCTTTTTAAAGAACCATAGAACAGAAACATCCCTCTGCACAGGCATTACAGTACATGTACTTAAATACATCAGATCTTGGATCAGCCTTCCCTTCAGGTACCCATGTTGGATGGGAATTCTCACAGTGGCTGGCCCAATAAATCTGGGGAAGGTTGCCACAGAAAATGCTCATTGCACTTTAAAAACATTTGTCTTGGCCAAAAGAGCAAGGAAACTAGTAAACTATCACTTTGTTGATCTTTATTGATGCCTCTACCATCACTCTTGCCTTATCTACAGTAGGCCTCAGGCACAGCCTCCCTTGCAGGAACCTCCAAGGTTATATTTCACGTACCCCTTTGTGTCCCATCACTTCATAATGGTCTGGGGGTTGTTGTTGTTTTTGGGCTGGATCATATAGTTAAATTCATCATGCTTATAATTCCAGACACTAGCTGGGCATTATTATACCAGGACAGGTAGTTCAGTAAGCACTGTGCAAACATGGCCCAATAATCATGAGTATCCCTGAACTTGGCTTGATGCAATCTCTCCCCAGAAATGTCTAATCTTCCTCCACCAGCACAGGGGAAATCAGGGGCTTTGCACATTTTTGTTCAAAAGGCTCAGAGAATCTGATATTTGAAAGATAAAGGACAAAGCTAGAGAGATATGGCACAATGTCCAAGTAAAATAAAGTCTTCCATGAATCAAGTTCAACTTCCACTCATAACCATATGAAAGTGATTTGCTACTATTGCCTTCTTATGGGGATTCTTTTTTTTTTTTTAACTTCCCAATTTACAGTAGCCTACAGTCTTGGGATGTCATGAGGTGTCCCCTATTCAAGAACTAATTGTGTTCTGATATTGCATAGCTTTTCTGAGATCAATCAAGGTCAGCTACATGCTGCTGTGAGAAAGTCACGGGAGTTATAAAAGTTGACCAGTAATTATCTAAATGCTTCATGCATATTATCTCTGAAATCATCCTTGCAGCAGTGTTGCAAGGTAGGTCAGTGTTGTTATTTCCTCATTAGGCCAACTGTGAGAAAAATGTGGGTTAACTAAGGACACAGTTTTGGTGTGACTGGCAGTACAAACTTCCTGGTTCAAAACATCTCGGTCTCTTGGGGAAGATTTGCATCTGCTGTTAGAGGGCAAAAGGAGAAGAGGCATCCTGCTATGGCAGCAAGCTTCTGCACCATCTCTTCCCATTTCATGTGGGATTATTTATAGACCAGCTATGATTCCTTATTCTTGTTCAGACAGCGAGTCCATCCATGCATAGGATGAAGTCAGAAGAGGGATTTGTTTTTCAGGCCACATCAGCTTTAAGAATATATCCTTATTTCAGACCAAAAAAGCCTCTTCTCTAGAACTTCCAACAAACTTGGAATCTTCAATATGCAAAATATAAATTCTGCACTGAATTATTTCCATCAAACTGTAGCATTGGGGAAGGAAAAATCTCCCAAACACCTGATAGCATATGCTCAAATAGGAATGACATAATTGGTGTTCCAAGGAAAAAGCGATTTGCTACATTTGGCTGCTAGCTTGAAAAGAGGTCTAAAGCTTGGATTTATGGCATCATTTCCCCATTCTTTTAATAACTTTGACCCAATAAAGTCTCTTTTTTGAAAGGAAATGGATTAGGAACTAAAAACTAGATCAGGCATGACTAATATAACCCACCAATATGGTAGCCTTCTAGTAGAGTCTTGGGACTCTGGTTAGCTAAAAGTGTGTGGAGATTGTAAAGTGTCTGACCACTGTGCATGGCTGACAGACTGCATTGGCTCAGTAAACCAGGCCCAAGGCTTGAGGAAAGATTAGCAGAACTAAGGTTCAGATACTTAGGTCTGCTGAACACAGATCTAGCTAAAGAAGCACCACAAACATCACAAACTTTTAAGTTCCAGTTTCCACAACTCATGGCTTTGTTGTTTTCAGTCTGTTTTTAGACAATATACAGTAGAATGATAATGAGATTCCCACATTTAATCAAACATCTGTATAACAATTAAGGTGTGCCTTTGCTTACTTAAGGATATAACATGGTTGTCAAAGAAACAAGGCAGATATTCAAGTAATACGTTGCCCTTTTTCCCCTCATTAAAATACATTGTCTTTCAACTTTCACTTAAGTAGTAGGTTGGGAGCCCCACCTTCCCTTGAAACATAAGTCTCCAAAAGTTAGAGGCCTGAACCCCAGGCAGATTTGGGAGCAGCTCCTCACTCTCACTGTGTGTGTGTGGGTGAGTGTGTATGGAATACAAAGTGAAATTGCTTCCCTCCAACTTAAAAAACTAGGCAAGCCCTCTGCTTACTTTCCACCCAAAATTATTAATTACTTAAAAAGCAACAAGACATCAGCCCCTCCCAAGGTCTCTGGAAAGGAGGACGCCTGCTGGGATGGGCAGCACTGACGATGGGACAAACTGGTACATAAACAAGTACTTTCAGGCAGTTCTATCGCCTAAGCAAGATGATGTCATGTATTGCAAGAAGCAATGAGAATTTGGTCACGTGCACCAAATATTGACACAGCTATTATAGGAAACATTAATCACAGCTGGTAATTCATTTCCTTTCAGCTGTAGAAACATTTACCGTTCTGGATCTCTATTCCTTCATTTCACTAAGTTGCTGAACAAATCTGATTCATAGCAACAGGCAGTTTCACTGTATAACAACAGGAACAACAGGAGCCAAGTTGGCCCTTAGAAATTCTTCACCAAAGATGTGGGCAGAGAAATTGGGTGGGCAAGTTCTTCAAATGGCTCCAGACGGAGAACCTGTCTCAAAGATTTCTCAAGGGCAGGATTCCTTCTTAGCGGGGATGGTTGCACTGCTACTTAAGATGTTCTCCGGAGACGTTTGCTCATGATTACCCTTCCCCTATGATTGCATTAAAGTTGGGAAGTCAGGGAGGCTGCAGACCACGGGCTGAGATAATTGTAATGTATTGGTAGATAATGGGAAGGCAAACTACTCCTCTTTCTTGCTTTTGTCATTGCCCAACTCTTGAGTATGGCAGATAAGAAGAAAAATAGCAAGCCAAAGAAGCAGTAGACTCTTTTTGTGGTCCTGGGCAGATTCCTGATGAAGCAGAGCTCCGATAATGAAACCAGAGTTTTCAAGGACAATTTAAACGTTTCTTCACATCCTTGGATGGGGCCTTCTACTGAACCCTAAGTGTGTCAGGTACTACTCACCCTTGTTAAACGTTTCAGGTCATCCCAAAGGTGTCTCTTGAAGAGCAAGAGAGGCCCAGTAAGTCACTTGACAAGTCCTGCCTAACTTCTTGAAAAACTTCCAAGTCAGGCTTGCTCTACAAAAGAGATGCTTCACTCCCTGGGTCTTACAGGTTTGGATGTCCATGGGGATTCTCAGTCACCCAGGTCATGGTTGTCTCAAAGGTGCTTTTTTCAAAAGGCAGCTGAACTATTAGTTCTGGCTGGACAAAACTAATTAGACTATCAGAAAAATTACTTGGTCAGAACTAATTCTTCCATTCCCCCCCCCCCACCGTATCCAGCCAGAACTGATGAAAAGCAAAATGTCTTCTTCCTCAAGGAAAAAGAACACAGTCTTGTTGCCTTTTGAAAAAGCACCTTTCAGACATTACAAGTTTGAATATTTGAAAACTTCGTCTTTGTCTAGCTATCTCCACTCAGTGGCTGGGTAGAGGAGAGAACAGCAACTATATTGGATGGAAAGGATCACCTATTGCCCCTAAAAGTCAATGGCAGGACAGAGAGATTGGATGAATACCCATGGTAGTACCCACTGATGAAGAATACAGCTAGTTTTCTATGTACAACCATAATGGGATGTTGATTAAGCCATGATGAGATGTGTGGAGGAGGGTTTGGGATCCAGTGGGGTAGGAAGCAGGCCCAAGGCCTGTGGGCATTCAGATAGGGTGGGAAGTAGAGCGTGAGGTGCCAAGCACCACAATTTTATTCACTTGACTGTGGGAGTGCTGCAGCGGATATAACTTTGGGCAGGACTGTTAAGTCGCTTTGTTCAGAGCCATTATAATTTCAAATGGTCATCAATTGAGGACTACCTTCCTCTGTATCTTTAACCCCCTTTTCCCCCAAAGAGTCCCAAAGAAATGATAAAAAATAGTCTAATTCAGAAGACCTCTGTAGGAACTACAACTCTGGCCATATCCAGCAAATGGGGGAAAACAATTCCAACACTACTCCCCCTCCTGAAGGGCATCAGGTTGCATTGCCATTTGGATGATCGTGGGTAATTAACACATGCATGCACACATGCACTGCAGCAGTTCAGCCAATAAAAAGAAAGCAAGTTACCTGGGGAGGTCCTTAGTAAGGTGTGGAGGGACAGCTTGCTGGCCTGATTCAGAAAACCCAGGATTCATCTCTAGTTCGGATTCCCAGCCTTTTCAGCAACAGTCAGCATTACATTTTTCTGAGGAAATGTACAGAAAGCAGAAGAATTAGCAGATGGGTCATTCTGTGTCACTTCCAGCTTCTTACAGTCAGAAGTTACATTAAATTTCTACTTCACTATTAAACCACCTCATTGTAAAACAGCATACCGTATAACTAACTGAAACAATAAGCACTGAATAAAGATACAAATTCTGACTGTTTAAGATTATTGCCGTTGACAGCAAATATATGAGATCCCATAACTGAGCTGCAGATTGACATTAGTACAAAACTCCAGGTTTGCATCTTTAAACATGGCTTTTCTCCATTTCTGTGTAATGCAGAGAGAACTGCACGATGGTTTAGAGCAGAGTTCCCCAACATTTCCAGCTTTGTGGACAAGTGGGGGGGAGGGGATGGTTAACGCAAGTGGCTGGCAAGCGCATGTGTGCACGCAACTCCATTTCCACAAGCAGCGTGCATGCGCACCTGCCGCTCACAGAAATGGAGCACACAAGCACATGCTCACCTGCTGCTTGCACAAGTGAGGATGCGCATGCCCATGGCCCAATTGCAAACCCCTCACGGCCCACTAGTGGGCCACGGCCCACGGGTTGGGGACCCCTGGTTTAGAGCAAGATTTTTCACAAGGGCTTGTGATTTAGTGTTTCATGAGAACTTAACGGAGAAAGAAGAAAGTTCACTGTGTTGGTCAATCTTCTATCACTAGAGCTTTGTCTCTTGATTAGGGAATTCCTTTTTAATCAACAGGTTCCAAGGCCTGAAAAAGTTTAAAACCCACCTGTTCAGGGCACTAAAAAACCTTAAGATTGAATTTCTGCTTGATCCTTCCTGAAGATCATCTATAACTGAAGATCTTTGCTGATTTAGTATTCTAAGCAGTATGTCTCTCTAGTTCACGAAATGTTTACCTATAACACGTACCCTTCTGATTTCTACAAAATTGCTGCTGTTTTGATTTGAAAGATCTTAGCTCTCCATCATTTTAAGCCAATTTCCAGTCCATTTGACTGCAATTTACGCAGAAACATATTTGAAAATATACTGGGGGGGACCTAAAGGCAAATGGGAAACTAGACTTTTGAAAAGATAAAATCTAATGAGCAGGACTACAGTGTCTTCTGGTGTTCTTTCTTTTTATCCCTTGGTAGAAAAGGGGCGTTGGTCTTACCTGAACGCCTTTTCTCAGTACGGAGATGGATAATCCATGGATGGGTTTTCTCTGTCTGCCTGCTCTTGAGACCAAGTAGCCAAAACTTGACATGCCCCCACTTCCTGTGGAGTCCATTCTTAACGAGGGCGAATTGGCTGATGATTGACGAGGTATTGGCTCTCAGCTCCCTACTAGCGGCCTGCTGGCCTTGGGGTGGGTGTGGATTATCCATCTCCGTACTGAGAAAAGGCGTTCAGGTAAGACCAACGCCCCTTCTCCAGTACAGGAGATGGATAATCCACGGATGGGACGTACCAAAGCCTCACTGTCCCAAGGGGTGGGAAACAGATAAGGCCGGTAGATTGATCTCTGAGACAACTTGCTGGAGGACCCTCCTACCAAAGGAGGCGTCCGCCGATGCAAAGCGGTCTATCTTGTAGTGTCGTATGAACGGGGAAGGCGAGGACCATGTCGCGGCCCTGCAAACTTCCTCGATTGACACCTGGGTAGCCCATGCCGCCGAAGTTGCAGCGCTTCGGGTGGAATGGGCTGTGAGATGACTTGGGGGTGGCAGGGATGATACATTGTAAGCTTCTGCGATACAGCTTCGGATCCACCTTCCAATGGTGCCCGCGGAAACTTTCCGCCCCAAGGTGCCCGCTTGGAAGGACACAAATAGGGCCTCCGATTTGCGGAAGGGTTCTGTACGCTTTATATAACGCCGCAAGGCTCTGCGGACGTCCAATGTATGCCACTGCCGCTCCCGGTCATGTGTTGGATTTGGACAGAAGTTTGGGAGAATTACTTCCTGTGTCCTGTGAAAGAGTGAATTCACCTTCGGTATGAAGGAAGGATCTAACCTAAGGACCACCCTGTCCTTGTGGAAAATGCATAGGTCGTTTCTGAATGACAGTGCGGCCAGTTCCGAAATTCGTCTGGCCAATGTGATGGCAATCAGGAACGCCACCTTTAGCGACAGGTGTCGCAAGGAAACGGTCGCCAATGGTTCAAATGGTGACCATATGAGCGCGTGAAGGACTCGCGGTAGTTCCCAGGACGGGTACCTGTGAACTACTGGAGGTCTGGTGTTATAAGCGCCCTTGATAAAGGCGCGGATCCTGGGGTGGTGAGCTAAGGGAACTGAATCCGTGCAGGTGAGGAAGGTGGACAAGGCCGCCACTTGCCTGCGGATGGTCGCGGGGGCGAGGCCTCTGTCTAGTCCCTCCAAGAGGTAATCTACTATCTGAAGGATGTAGAATTTGTGTAAGTCAAAGTGCCGTTCCCTGCACCAAAGGCAAAATTTTTTCCAAGTGGAGTCGTAAATGTGGTTTGTTGCCGGACGGCGTGAAGCTTGAATTATGGTAATGGCCCCGGGAGAGAATAGTTCCTGTGCCACTATCTGGCGCTCAAGTGCCAGGTGGTCAGTTGTAACCATTGGGGTTCCGGGTGACTGATGGTTCCCTGGTGTAGGGACACTTGATGAGGGGGAATGTTCCATGGGGGCGACTGAGACAGGTTCATCAGGTCGGCGAACCACGGTCTCTGTGGCCAATATGGTGCTACTAGGATCACTTCTGCCCGCTCCTGAATCAGCTTTCGGATGACCGCCGGTATGAGTGGTAGTGGGGGAAAGGCATAAAGCAGACCCTGAGGCCACTGAGTTCTCAGAGCGTCCGTCCCCTCTGCTCGCGGGTTGAAGTAACGAGAGTAAAATCTGGGGAGCTGGGCATTGTCTGATGATGCGAACAGATCGAGGATCGGGTACCCGAACTTGCGGGAGATGTCTAGGAACAAGTTCGGGTGTAGCCCCCACTCCGAAGGGTCCACTGTGGTGCGGCTTAGGAAGTCCGCTTGCTGGTTGTTGACCCCCGATATGTGTTCCGCTTTTAGTGACTTCAGATTGGGCTCTACCCAGCTGAATAGGAGTCGTGACTCTGTCATCAGGGTTTTTGATCTGGTCCCCCCCCTGCCGATTGATGTGCGCCTTGGCTGCTACGTTGTCTGTTAGGACTAGAACGTGGTGGCCTCTGATTCTGTCTTTGAATTGTTGCAAGGCTAGGTGGATAGCCCTGAGTTCTAGCCAGTTGATGTTGTTTCTCAGATCCGTGGCGGACCAACGTCCCTGTACAAACTGGGAGTCCAGATGGGCTCCCCAACCATACAGACTGGCGTCTGTAGTGATGGTAAGTCTGACTGGTTCCTTGAAGGGTGACCCCTTGGTCACGGCCCGAGAGCACCACCAGCGTAGCGCCCTGCGGATTTGTGCCGTGACCCTGACTAGGTGGTTGGATGCGCTGGTGTTCTGCCGTTGGTAAGGGAGTAGAAACCACTGTAGTTCCCATAGGTGGAGCCTGGCCCAGGGTACAATGGCTATGGCCGATACCATCTTGCCCAATAATTGGGAAAGTGTTAGTATCGGAACTGAACGCTGCCTGTGAACCCAGCGAGCCAGTTCCCTGATACCGGCCACCCGCTCTTGGGAGAGATAGACCATATAGTTGGTTGTGTCTATCGTGGCCCCCAGATGCAGCAGCCTGGACGAGGGCACTGTCTGGCTCTTCCGAAAGTTTACTGAGAATCCGTGTAATTGGAGGACGCGAATGACGGTCCTTACGTCCGCCTGAGCTGCCTGTAGGATGTTGCTTGGATTAGTATGTCGTCTAGGTAACATTGGACGCGTATTGGGATTTTTCTCAGTTTGGCGGCTACCACTGCTAGTATCTTGGTAAATACCCTGGGTGCCGAAGATAGACCGAAGGGGAGGGCTCTGTATTGGAAGTGTTTTCCCCCGTAACAGAAACGTAGGAACCGGCAGTGGTTTGGGTGGATGGGGATGTGAAGGTAGGCTTCCGTGAGGTCTATCGATGCCAGGAAGTCTCCTTCTCTGATGCTTCCCAGGATGGACTGAAGGGATTGCATCTTGAATTTTTTGTATGTGATGTAGCGGTTGAGGTTTTTAGGTCCAGGATTGCCCTCCATCCTCCTGAAGTCTTTGGAACCACGAAGAGGATGGAGTAAAATCCTCTGCCTCTGTATTCCGCTGGGACCGGTTCTATGGCTTGAATGTCCAACAGGTGTTGGATGGCCTCCTGCATGAGTTTGCGTTTGGTGGGGTTCCTGGAGACCGAGCAGTTGATGAGTCGGTCTGGGGGTGTGACCAGGAACTCCAGGGACAGCCCGGACTGGATGGTTTGTAGTACCCAGTTGTCCGTGGAGGTCTGCTCCCACTGGTGGAAGAAGTGAGCTAGTCTTCCTCCAATGGGTAGGTCTATGTAGGAGTCATTTTGTCTTCCGGTACGGACGACCCGTTCCACGAAAGGGTCGTCTCGACTGGTTTTGTTGTCTGGGCTGGAACCCCGGTCTGTCGTAGGGGCGGCCGTACGGTTTGTTCTGCCTGGGAGTGAATGGCTTGGGTGCCTGACTGATAGGCGTGGTTGTCGGTTGGTGAAAGGACTGCCTACGAAAGTAAGGTGTGGTACGTTTGTCTGACCTTTTGTTCAAGTGTGCCATGACCTTCCGCTTGTCTTTGTTCTCTACAAGATAGGGGTCCAAGGCCTCCCCAAACAGACCGTTGCTTGAGTAAGGGGCGGTCGCTAGCCACCACTTAGCCTTGGTGTCAGCTTGCCAGTGTTTTAGCCATAGCATTCTCCTGGCAATTATGTTGGATGCTATGGATCTGGATGAAAAAATGGCCGATTGGAGCGTTGCGTCTGCAGCGTATTCCGTGGCTGCTACCATCTTAGCTGGGTCCTGGTGTGTTCGTATGTCATCCATAGGAACTATGGTTTGTAGTTGTTGCAACCAGATGAGGGTGGCCCGGACAAAAAAGCAGGCTGAGGTGGCTGCTTTGATGGCCCATGCCG